GTCTTCTTTCCTGACTTACAGTGGTACTTTTTAATGTTACATCAGAAAGATTTCATTGTAAGCCAATTGAGTTCTCTGTTTCAGTTGTCAAAATGTATTCCTTTCTTTTTTTTTAAAGAATTATTTATTTTTAATTTTATTTATTCATTTACTTATTTTATTTTGACCAGAGAGAGAGAGAGAGAAAGTGAAAAAGCAAGCCACCAGGTCCAGGACTTGAACCATGGATGGCCATGTGGAAATGTCCATCACCTTAACCACCACACTACCTGCTGGTCCCCAAATGTATTCCTTTCAAAGTAAGGATTTTTTTTTCCTAGAGGGTGCGTGCACTCACCAGAAAGACAGAGTAAGACAGAGAGACAGAAAGCGAGAAATCACCCCCCCACCATGGGGGATGGCCACCCTGCAATCCCTTCTCCTCCTTTCTCCTCTCGGGATCTCGGGCACGCATGCACCCAGCATGAGTTTAAGCCACCGGTCCAGGACTTGAACCACGGTCTAGTGACATAGCCATTACGTCAACTGCTGGTCCCAGGAATTTTTCTTTCTTTATTATTATAAAATAAGCGTGGAGTCTGGGACTTGAACCGTGGTTGGCCTTGTTGGAATCCCATGCCTTAACCACTGTGCCATTTGTTGACCCCCCTGTTTAATTCTTTTTAATGGCTTTTAAGTACTCTGTTTTAGAAACATGTTATAATTAACTTAAGGTTTCACTTACTGATACTTTGATATTTGCAGATTTCTTTTTTCATTATCCTTTTTAGGGGTAGGGGAGGGCTATTACACATAATGCCACAATAAATAGAAATGGAATCCTTTTTAAAAAGTAAATGTGGGCCCAGCCATGGTAGTGTGCACTGGGCACAGCTGGCTCGCAAATTGAGGCTACATAGGAGGCCCAAGTTCAATTCCTGGCCTTTCTTAAAACATTAGGTATGATTTTTGCATGCCTTTATTCTCAGTGACCTTGGGAGACTGAAGCAGGAGGATTGTGATATGTAAGATTCTGTCTAAGAACACCATATGCACACTCAAAGAAATTAAATAAGTGAATATGGAATATGACTTAAAAATACCACTTATGAGCTCATTCTTATATTAGCTGAGTCATCTGATTTTTCATAGCCTTCAGTGTTTTAAATTACAAACTCAGTGTATTTGGTATATTTCAAAAAGTGCAATACTTTTCTTAATTTATCAGTGAAAGAAGTTAGAAATTGACTTCTAAAAAAAATCAGCAAATGGCAAACAGATTTCCTTGAAAGTCATAGTAACATATAGTGCATCCTAGAAAAGAGGAGGGGCAAGGCAGGTTCCACCCACTTTCATGAGTTTCATCAAATATTGGATCTACTCAAGGGCAGAGAGAAAAAGCAATTTTCAAAAAGAAGTATGTTATTGGGGCCAGCAAGTGGCGTGGTAGTTAAGGGCACTCAACTCCCATCTGGCTGACTGTGGTTTGAGTCCCTTATCTGGCAGCTTGCTTTCTCATTTTACTTCTCTCTATCTATCTCACTTTCTCACTCTGTCCCTCTCTGGTCAAATTAAAATAAATAAAGTTAAATAAAATAATTCTTAAAAAAAATTTACCTACTTGGGGCCAGCAGGTGGTGTTGTGGTTAGTGTGCACATGGCCATTATTAAATGATGCATTTACTATACTCCTTCCTAAGAGCACCAGGTGGGCAACATGGTGTCTAAATTAGAACAAGAAAGTGGAATGTGGACTCTTATCTGTCCTCCTCTCCTTATGAGGGCTGACCTTTGGTTAATGAATTAAATAAAACAAGACTAAAAAACAAACTCCATACACATTCCCATGCAAAATAAGGAAGATAAAACAAAAATAAAACACTAAAGATTCCCAGATTACTCTTCAGAGAGGAACCAGGGAGCAACTTCAACAGTTCAAATTAGTCTGTTACAGTCATCACAAGCATGCCTTTTAAACGAAACAAAAAAATGTGAAACAACGAAGCTAAAACTAGTACTGATCACTTATCTGACAATATACAATTATTCAAAATTAACTAGTATCAGAAGGGAGGGGAGAGGGGCCATACCTATGGGCCTTGTCTCACATGAGCGCATGTTGGTAGGTCCAGGACATTTGTCATTATTGCAAAAATGAATTTCAATTTTTAATCTTTAGTTTGATTTAAACATTGCTTTTAGTATGATGCCGACACCAGCTGTGCAGAGGGGCTCTGGAGAGATGTTCATAACAGCACACGCCTGCGACTCTTCCTGGGTTCTGGAGGCTCCAGGGCAGCCAGTGTCGCTTCATCGAATACATTCTTTAGGCCTTTCTGTGTGAGTGCAGAACACTCCACATACTTGACAGCCTTCAGGTCACGGGCCAGCTTTCCAGCAGTCTGTGGAGTGATAGGCTTCTGTTTGTTCTTGGCAAGTTTCTCGGTAGTAGAAGGGTCATCTCTGAGATCAATTTGGGTCCCAACAAGCAAGGAACGAGTCTCTGGACAGTGATGAGTTATCTCAGGCACCCCCTTTTCTTTCACATTTTCAAATGAGGACGGAGAGACCACTGAAAAGCAAACTAGAAATACATCTGTTTGTGGATAACTCAGTGGTCTTAAACTGTCAAAATCCTCTTGTCCTGCAGTATCAAAAAGCCCAAGAGGACCAGCAGTTAGTGTAATGGCTATGTTGCTGGACTCCCATGTAGTCGACTGCGGTTCGCGTCCCAAGTGGCTTAAAGTCACGCCGGGTGCGTGTGTGTGTGCCCAAGATCCCAAGAGGAGAACAGAGGCGAAGGGATTGTGGCATGGCCATCCCCCCTGGGGGGTGATTTCTCACTTTCTGTCTCTCTGTCTCTCTCTGTCTTTCTGATGAGCGCAAGCGCCCTATAGCAAAAACCTCTCAAAAAAAATAAATAAATAAAAATAAATTTAAAAAGCCCAAGAGTATATGGCTTTCCACCAGTCATAGCTATGACTGTATAGTTGTCAAAAACAGATGGTGCATATTCAGATCGAAATGTGTTTGTTGTGTAGGATATCAGGAGACATGTTTTACCGACAGCACGTTCCCCCACAACTACACACTTAATTGACTACATTGCTGAAATAGTTGTGTATCATCTTTAAATATTTCCAATTTGATGCTGACCTCAGGTTCTTCCCCAGGGACCATTCCCTCAATTTTTCAAGCAATACAAAAATATTTATTTAAAAAAAATTTTTTTAGAGGTTTTTGTCTTAGGACCTGTACATTCACTGGAGAGAGACAGAGACAGTGAGAAATCACCCTCTCCCGCCAAGGGGGGGGATGGAAACACCTCAATCCCTTCTCCTCCATTTTTCTATCTGGATTTTGGGCAGGCATGTACACATGCCTGGCATAATTTTTAAGCCATTGGGTCCAGAACTTGAACCATGGTCAGTCATGTGGGAGTCCAGTGACGGTGCCTTTATGCCATCTGCTGGCCTCTTATGTTTTTATTAAGTAATATTTTATATATATATAAAATTATCCATTCTTTTTAAGGAATTATCTAATTTTATTTTTTAAAAATTATTTATTTATTTAATTGTATTTATTCATTCATTCATTTTAATTTGACCAGTGAGAGACGCACAGAAGAGAAGGAAAATGAGAAAGTATGCCACCAGGTCCAGGACTCGAACCTGGGTTGGCCATGTGGGAATGTCCAGCACTTAACCACCACGCCACCTGCTGGTCCCTAATTTTATTATTATTATTATTATTTTATTTGCTGTAGGGCATGTGAGCTCACCAGAGAAAGAAATGAGACGAAAAGAGAAAGCAAGCCACCAGGTTCAGATCTTGAACTGTGGTTGATCATTTGGGAGTCCAGCGTCTTAACCACCATGCCACTTGCTGGCCCCTCTCCATTCTTTTTTTAAGAAAGTGGTAGTGGTATTTACTCACATACAGTAAAGAAATGCCAAAATTGGGAGCAAACTTATTATCTATTAGAATGTACTTGAAGTTCTCTTTTATTCTCCTTGGTGTTTTGTAATTAAGAAAGTGCTGTTCATATTTTTTAATTGGTTTCTTAAAATCTATTTGTCTTGACTTTAAGCTTTGGGAAGGATAAGGACAATAGGGGCAATAAAATACCTTTTTCAAATGTTTACACTCAGCTCTTTAGAAGGAGAAGTACATTATTCTGCAGAGGAAGCTGTGAAGTTTATAGAAGATCGAATAACAGAAGAATCTAAAAGTTCTCGCCATCTCCGAGGACCCCATCTAGCTAAACTGGAGCTGATTAGGCGTTTACGAAGTCAAGGTTGTAACGATGAGTACAAACTGGGTAAGAAATCATATGTTGTTTGGGAGCCTTGGAAAAGATGCTCAGGTGCAGTATTCGTTACCTAAGGCCTACAGTGACAGTTGAAAAGAAAGTGCCTTCATAATCTGAAAATATGTACTAATGAATGGATTATTTTTTTTTTTTTTTTTGGGGAAGAAGAGTTTTTTTTTTTTTAATTATTTTATTCAATTTCATTTATTCATTCATTCAATTATTTTGACCAGAGAGAGAGAGAGGAAAGTGAGAAGGCAAGCCCTAGGTCCGGGACTTGAACCATAGTCAGCCCTGTGGGAATGTCCAGCACCTTAACCACCACACCACCTGCCAGTCCCTGAATGGATTACTTATAAAATTAGTTCTCAGGCAGTAAGGTGGCATGGTGGGTAAGTCGCTGGATTCCCACATATCCAACTGTGGTTTGAGTTCCAGACCTGGCTGCTATCTTTCTCTCTTTCCCAAAAAAATCTCTGTCTCTCTCTGGTCAAATTAAAAAATAATAATAACAACAAATAGAATTAAATAAATAAATAATTCTTTAAAAAACATTAAATTAATTCTCTGGGCCAGCAGGAGGTACAGTGTTTGAGGAGCTAGATCTTTTTTACATGGCTTGTGGTTTGAGTCCTGGACCCAGCAGCTTGAAAAACACATGGAATGCTGTATGTGCATGTGTGTCCAAAATTCCAAGAGAAGGATGGACGAGAAGAGCTGCAGCATGACTATCCTTCCTGGGGAGTTTTCTCACTTTCTCCCTTTGGCAAGTACATGTACCCTATGGCAAAATCTGGAGAAAAAAAATTAGTCTGGAAACTAGCAGATGTTGTAATGGTTATGTCATTGGACTTTCATATAGTCAACCGTGGTTCAAGTCCTAGACCTGGTAGCTTAAACCTCATGGCAGATACATGTGCATGTGTGTGTGCCCAAGATCCTGAGAGGAGAATGGAGGAGAAGGGATTGTGGCATGGCCATCCTCCTTGGGATGTCTCTCTCTGTCTCTCTGGCAGGCGAGCACATGCCCTATAGTAAGAAATATCTCTCTCAAAAAAGAATATTAGTCTGAGATCATATGTAACTTTGCTTAACCATTAATATCTCTCCTGATTCCATTAGACTTTGTTGACCATTCTCTTATTGACCCAACATCAAAATCTCAAAGTAAAATTGCTAGTTCTGTAAGTTTCCAGCTTTGATGAGGTGATGAAAGGTTTCTTGAAAATCTACTCCAAGCATTTGTTAAATCATTGACAAAGGAGTATCTGACAGAATTAGAGCAATTAGCAGCTGAAGAGAGAATTGCATGAATGATGGAAGAAAAGAATATATAGTTCGTAAATCATTAGGAGAGGTCTTGATGAAATTTGATCAAGCCCTTGGGTGTTTTTTTCAAACTGGATTTTAGAAACAAACGATTTTACTACACATAAGATGTGAAAGGTGATGTAGCGGTTAAAGTGCTGAATTCTCATGTGGCTGACCATGGTCTGAGTCTGGACCCAGCAGTTTGAAACTCACTCTGGGCACATGTGCGTTGTTGCCCAAAATCCTGAGAGGAGTATGGAGGTGAAGGGATTGCAACATGGCAATCCCCTAGGGGGTAAATTCTCACTTTCCCTGTCTGTCTCTCTGTGTTCAGTGAGTGTACATGTCCTATGACAGAAGTCTTTAAAAATAAACAAAAAATGTACAAAGATAAAAACAAAATTTAAAGATATAAAAGAGAAGTGAAGGGTGTAATATATTACTACTTCATAATTTTGTTTAAAAAAACCCCACCTCCCAAAAAAGCCATAATTATTTATTCATACTAAGAATTAGCTCACAGTTTTAATTATGTACTAAATTTTTGTTAAATTTAAGATAAAAGATGTGATTTTAAATACTATACATTTTTTAAAGAATTACTTTATTTTATTCACTGTCATCATTATTATTATTATTTTAACTCAGAAAGAGATCAGGGTGGAGGGAATGGAGTGAAAAAGGAAGCCACCAGGACTGGGACTTGAACCATAGTCAGCCATGTGGAGTCCAGTGCCCTAACTACCACACCACCTGCTGGTTCCTCTAGCTGTTTTTTGTCTTGTTTTGTTTTGTTTTTAAAGAATTATTAATTTAATTTAATTTTTATTTATTAATTTACTTATTTACTTTAGTTACACATGTGCTCAACCAGAGAGAGAAAGCTGCCAGGTCCAGGACTCAAACTGTGTTCAGTCATATGGGAGTCCAGTGCCCTTACCACCATGTGACTTCTGGTCCCACCTCTAGCTTAATTTTTAAAGAGAAAGCTCTGTAAAAACCTTTTCTTTTCCCCATTTGTTATTATAAGAGTTCGTCCTCATCACAAGCTGATTTATAGAGTTATTATTTTTTAATCTTTTTTTCCTTTTTTTGGAGAGGTTTTTGCCATAGGGTGCGTGACCTTGCCAGAAAGACAGAGAGAGACAGAGAGACAGAAAGCGAGAAATCACCCCCCAGGGGGATGGCCATGCCACAATCCCTTCTCCTCCATTCTCCTCCCAGGATTGTGGGCACGTATGCACATGCGCCTGGCGTGAGTTTAAGCCACCGGGTCCGGGACTCGAATTGTGGTAGACTACATGAGAGTCCAGCAACATAGCCATTATGCTAACTGCTGGTCCCTAGAGTTATTATTATTAGAGTTATAAATAGAGTAGTGGGCTAGTGGGGGGGAGATGGAGCAATTGTCCTGAGAAAACAAGCACTTTGAGTATCTACAATCTGTCTTAGAACATCTCTGTTTTAATCATGTAATTAATGTTCTTGGCAGCTCATCTGAAATTAACTGTGGACTTTCCTCAATCGTACACTTTGCAGAGTATTCACAACTGGTTTTGAATCTCATGTTGACTTTTTTCTTGAGATTTGCTTCAGTAACTTCAGTCTATGATAGTTCTAGACTTGCAAGCGAGAATTTTCATATCACTCTGAGCAAAGCAGTATTAGATTTCAAGAATTGCTTTATTTAAAAAAGTGGATATGAGTATTTCAGTCTGTGTTGACACTTCCTTTTTCTATCCCCTGTCGTTTTCTTCCTACTTACCAACTTGTATCTTAGAAATTTGTAAATTTGTCTAGTCTTCACCAAATTTTATCAGTCCTGTGAAAATCTAATTAAAGCCATAGACCTCTTTTCTTTTAGACACCTATGTTGACTGACCGCAGTTTGAGTCCCAGACCCAGCAGCTTGGGACACACCAGGCGCGTGTGTGTGCACACATGGCAAAAATCGCAAGAGAATGGAGAAGGATTTGCAGTGTGGTCATCTCCCTGGGGTGGTGGTGGGGATGATTTCTTATTTTCTGTCTCTCTCTCTCTCTCCAGCAAGCATATGTACCCTATTGTAAAAGTCACTCAAAAAAAAGTTCTAGTGCTTAATTAACTCATGTAAATTTGACAGCTTCTTTTTTTCTTTTTAATTTGAGGAAAGATAAGGTGAGCTAGTAGCTCTCGGTATATCCACATTTACATTTTTTACAATGAGTGACCTTGTTGGAGTAAATTTTCAGCCTGTAATGCTTCCTGTTTTTTTGGGTTTTTTTTTTCTGTTGGTGTGCCTGTTAACAGAAATTACCTTTCATTTAACTACATTTATTTAATATTTGTTAGGTAGCTCATAAACTATTGTGGAGAGAAGAATGTTTATTTAAAGTTTTCATATAGACTTAAATTTTTATTTAACCTTTAATGAAAACCTTTTTAGCTATTTAGCCAAACTAACAGCTTCACATTTCCTAAGTGTAAAAAGCATGTAAACTGAATTGGTAAGATTTCACTCTTTTTAAAGTGTTTATATTTAAAGTGGGAAGCCATTTTCTTGTACTTATTCTCATTCAAGCATTTGAACAAGAATTTAATTCAATTAAAATGTTTTTAATTATGGGCCGGTAGGTGGTTTGGGCACTGGACTCACACAAGACTGACCGTGGTTTGAGTCCTGGGCTTGGTGGCTTGTTTTCTCACTTTCTCTCTCTCTCTCTCTCTTACTCTTGCTCTGTCCCTCTCTGGTCAAATTAAAATAAATAAATAAAGTTAAAGTACAATACTTCTTTTTTTTAAAAAAAATAGTTTTTTGTTTTGTTTTGTTTTGAGAGGTTTGTGCTATAGGCTGTGTGTACTCACCTGAAAGACAGATAGAGACAGAGAGACAGAAAGCAAGAAATCAGCCCCCAGGGAGGATGGCCATGCCGTAATCCCTTCTCCTCCATTCTCCTCTTGGGATATCGGGCACACACGTACACGCTCCCGGCATGAGTTTAAGCCACCGGGTCTGGGACTCAAATCACAATCAACTACATGGGAGTCCAGCGATGCAGCCATTATGTCATCTGCTGGTCCCTCCAAAGAAGTTTTTATTTAAACCTTTCACTTTAACTAGAAATTGTTTCAGTCCATGAATAATGTATTATTTCCCCTTCCTTCCCTCTCTCAGGTGATCCAGAAGAGTTAATGTTCCAGTATTTTAAAAAGTTTGGGGATAAGCCTTGTTGTTTTACAGACCTTAAAGTGTTTGTCGACCTCTTGCCTGCTACACAATGTACAAAAGTAAGTACAGTTCAGAATTTTGATGGGCACCCCTATTTGTTGAAACTAGGTTAAGTGTCTGGATTTCTTTTCTAAACTATGTGAACATAGACAACACAGGATATCACTCATGATCACTGTCCTGTCTAGATAGTATCACATCAAAGGTACATACAATATTGTAGCCAGCACCCCAGTCAAAATACAGAACAGCTCTGCTACAAAATCCCACAATCCCCTTCTATACCTCCTTGTATCTCTCCCTAACCCAGCTCTCTCAAGGCAACCGCTAGTTTCCATTGCTTGTGTGTAACCTTTTGAGATTGACATTTTCACTCAGCATAATTGCCTGTGGAGGCAACTACAGTATTGCATGAATCAGTTGCTCGTTCCTTTTATTGCTGAGTATTCTGTGGTACGCCCATACTCTGTTTTCTTTAACCAGTCACCTGTCAAAGAACATCTGGGTGTTTTCCATTTTGGGCTATTACAAATAAAGCTACTAGGAATGATGTTTGTTTGTTTATTAAAGAGCTATTTCTTATTTATTTATTTATTTGACAAGAGAGGGAGAGAGGGGGAGAGTAAGAAAGCAAGCCTCCAAGTCCAGAACTTGGATTGCAGTTGACCATGTGGGAGTCAAGTGCCCTTAACCACCATGCCACCTGCCAACCCCACTTTGAGTAATATTCTGTGTATGATTTTCGTATAAACTTAAATCTTCCTTTCTCTGGGAAAAAAGCCCAGTAGTACGCTTGTTGGGTCTTATGGTAGCTACATGGTTAGTTTTCTTATGAAATGGCCAATCTGTTCTTCATTTTACATTCATACTAGCAAATATATAAGTGACCTAGTTTTTCTGTGCAGCATTTAATGTTGTCAGGTTTTATTTTTTTCCTTTTTTTAATTTTAGCCATTCTGATTGGTGTATATTTCATGTTTATTTTCCATCTGTATATCCTCTTTAGTGAAATGTCTGTCTTTTGCCCCTTATCTAATAGTTTTTCTTTTTCTTTTTTACTGTTGAATTTTTAAATTTGTGATGGAGTGTGTTCCAAATGTATGCTTGAGAAAGAGACAGAGACAGAGAGAAAAACACCCTCCAAAAGGTTCATTAATTCTGTGCTTACCTTCCCCCAACCTTCCAGCTCGCCAGGATTCTGGGCATGTGTGTCCAACATGTTTTCAGGTCAGCTGAGCTGGGAGCTATAACCACAGTAGGCAGTTGGCTTCCAGTTCTGTAGTCTGACAGGCTATCAGCTGTGCCACAGAGGCTAGGACTTTCTTTTTTTAAAAAATAAATTATTGTAATTTATTATCATTTAATTTCCTATAGCGCACATGTACTCACCACAGAGAGACAGGCAGAGAGAGATAGAAATTGAGAAAGCAAGCCTGCAGGTTTGGGACTTGAACCTGGCGATTGATCATGTGGGAGTCCAGCACGTTAACAACCATGCCACTTGCTGGTCCCAGGAACTTTCTAATTATTTATTTTAGATGAGGGTTCTTTATCTATTCCATATATAAGTGTTTTGATATGTCATCTTAAATACTTTCTCCCAGACCATAGCTTACCTTTCATCCTTTAAAAAATGCCCTTGGGACCAGCAGTTAGCAAAATTGGTATGTTGCTGGACTCCCATGTAGTCGACTGCAGTTCGAGTCCCGGACCTGGTGGCTTAAACTCACGTTGGGCAGGTGTGCATGCATGCCCAAGATCCTGAGAGGAGAATGGAGGAGAAGGGATTGCGGCGTGGCCATCCCCCCTGGGGTGATTTCTCACTTTCTATCTCTGTCTCTCTGTCTTTCTGGTGAGCCCACGCGCCCTATAGCAAAAACCTCTCCAAAAAAAGAAAAAAAAAGTCCTTTATGGGACCAGCAGTTAGCGTAATAGCTGTCGCTGAACTCCCACGTAGTTAACTACGGTTCGAGTTCCAGACCCGGTGACTTATACTCATGCTGGGCGCATGTGCGTGCGTGCCCAAGATCCCAAGAGGAGAATGGAGGAGAAGGGATTGCGGCATGGCCATCCCCCCTGGGGGTGATTTCTCTCTTTCTTTCTCTCTGTCTCTCTCTGGCGAGCGCACACACCCT